ATATATATAAATATCCTTCGTTTGATAAATTATTTCATCAAAAACACGTTTTCGGTATTAATTTTTGACAATGGGAGACAAGTGTACTAATAATATAAATCTTTCGTAACAATAATGTAATGTAAACTTAACTTTCGGTAAGTATGGGAAATACATACCTTAGATGTTGAACGATACGGGAAATGAGGAAAGTAAGATGTTTTAAGACACAAGTCGAAATGTCTTGTATGAGCGATGTCGTTGTTTTCATATTACAATCTAATCGCCTATAAAAGAAAATGATAAGCATTAACTTATCGGACAGTTATGTAGCGAAAACTGTTGCTTGCTGAAAAGTGAATTCTTATTTTCGGTGATCAATAATTTCGCTACAAATAAAAACGACGCTTTAATCAATAGCTACCGATTCTGCAGTTTCGTCAAAAAAGATTCGATGGATCAATGAACATGGTTAAATCGATATTTACTAAGATAAGAAACTTCCTAAGATTTAAAAATTGAACCTAAAAACCGACCCTAGGACATGTTTTACATGATGAAGTTGATGACCGAAATGCTAGTCATGGTGTGTGGTTATATTTCAAATTTAAAACATAGTAAGAATCTAATTCACTACAAGAGACTTTTTGTATGCGAACTAATTATTACATTACGGTAGTGGTTATGTTTAACTTAGTTTTATAGAAAGCGTACCAGTGGCCACCCAGTAAGAAATTCACTGCACGAAAGACTTTCACCGGGAGGTAATTTCGCTATCACTCTAATGTAACTGCTCAAAGTTTAATGTGACATAGAACTGTAATATTGCTTGTTTTTTTTTACTAGTAGTATTAAATATAAAAGGCTTAAGTGCTACATCAAACTATCGTAACATCCCTTCGCAAACAATGATCTAAATCTAATGCAACGGCTGAAGAAAGCGAAAGTAACTTTAGATATTTTTCAGCGAATAAGAGATTTCGTTTTGTGATAAGAAAAAATATTAATTTCAGGCAGGTAGAGATTCAGTATGCAACAACAATGAATTTTCTTCGTGGAATAAAGGCGGTTTCATTCTGAATGCTAGAAAGTTATCCAAAATGAATTAAGATCATTCCTTTCTACTCCAGATGTTAAAAACTGACATCGGTGAGAACTCACTTGGAACTTTTTAAATTTTGACTTGATGAACAACTGATAGATCGTATTTGTTAAGAAATCAACAGATTTGCCACTAAAACTGTTTTTCCAGTGTCAATGTAATGAACTATAAGTAATAATCTCGAGCCTTTTATTTTCCCCATGATTTTTACTCATTAAATTCACAAAAATACAAAAGTATATTTTTTACATTGTCATTTTGCATACTTGAAATAATAATGACTTTCAAACTAAAAGCAATTTGAAAAGATTAAAAATGAATTTCTTAAGGGTTTAATACATTGTAAGAATAATATATTGCTCAAGTCCTTCAGCTCGTTGATTTTTTTTTCTCACAACTCCAACGACTATCATTAGTAGGAAAGATTTAAAAGTATACCTGGAAAAACTTAACAGCCACTATAAATTACCTCGGTGATACTTATTCTATTTGACTAAAAACCTTACTTGCAGTGGATTAGTTAATTCATTTTGGTATTCACAACCTACAAATGATGTATGTCATGTACTTGGCTTGGTGTTCTTTTGATGAAAATGACATATTGCTTTTCCAAATTGTAAATGTTCGTGCTACTGCGTGATGGCCCCAAGCGATCCTGCTGTCCTTAGCGTCATCAATAATCCTTGCTGGAAGACCTGCTTCTCGTGTCCATTTACACGAAGTTCATGATCAAAACCAATTCATCTGATTGAAACGTTACTTTCTTAAATAAATATTTCTTATCTTACAAGATATGTACGCTGAGTCTTTCAAGTCTTTCGGGTAATTGATTTCTTACTCTAGAAGAAAAACTTTTAGATTAGTGATTTATAAATTTGGTTTTGTCTCATGAGGAAACTACCTGCATATTTATTACCACCGACTCCAGAATGCAGAGGTTTACAGTAGGCAGGTCGCTCGTTCTTATAGCGAACGCAAAGCAATCATTCTAACTCTTTTTACTTGTATCTCAACTTGTAATAACTCAAAGGCAGATATAATGATCGTACACAATCGTGCTTGTTGTGTCAACTAGTCGCTGATATCTCATCAACACGCGGTTGGTCGATGATCAAGCCACTGTAGAAGTCAGGAGCTTGAATGCTGATGTTTTTAAGTTATTTTCTTTCTTGTCAATTTCCACCAAGCCACTCGAGGTAGACTGTTACAGAGTAAGAAGGATAGTTTATGGAGATATGTGGGGAAGATAACGCTTGACCCTAGACATGGAAATATTAAAATTGTAGTGATCGAAAAGCACCCTCTTAGGAGTTGGGTCTACAGAGCAGTGTTTCGCGGAAAGAATCTGGTCAAGTAGTACTTACATCTCATCAATGGAATACGTAGGAAATTGTATTGTTCACTACAATAATGTGCGTGTACTGGCGGGTCCTAGCCGTGAAGGTTAGAATTGGTGGAACTGAGGAATGTCGATCCTTTGAACACTTTCCAAGGAAATACTGATAGGGTAGCGAGAAGCATGCGACGTTTTGTCTTTGGCAAAATGTGTGTAGTATGGAAATTAATTCGTCACCCACAAGACGTCTTTAGACTATATCGAGTCTGGAAAGTGATAACTGGGCGGCTACTGTCTATATGTGTCAGCAGTACTCTATTTTAGGCCTGGTTTTCAAGGCAAGGCAATTAAACTCCGTTTGAAAGATTGGTGCATCAATCTTCCTTCTCCTATCTGCACCTCTTTTGATTTTTGACAAATTGAACTCGCTCAGTGTACGACAATGACGTCATTATTGAGACGTGCCCCCGGAAAGTAAAGCAAAAATTTCGAATCCTTCTACAAATTAAATTGACAATATCTAAAAACTAAAATCATTAATGCTAACTCTACTGAGCCTAAATATGTTTACCATTTATTCATCTCTTTCAGGAATATGTTCTATAAGAGGAAAAAAATATTTTCAACTTCATGGAGAACAGAGTTACTGAAGCTTCAATAAAATTCTTTTCCATAACGAACGGAGAAATTGGAAGATTTGCAATATTAAAATAACGTAAAATATCGCTTCATTTATTAATTTTATTATTTTATGGGAAACTTAAGCTATTTAAAATAAACACTATTTGCACTAAAAACATTTAATAACACATTTGTTTATATTAAGTTTTATATATCTATTGTAACGCATCCATACAAGGACTTAAATCTAGAGCTATCCCATGATTCTTCACGAAACAATGTACACAAGTTTTGTCAATAAATGTTAATATAATTTAACATCAGTTCTGAGATGAAAATAATATAAATAAAATGATTTGATATTTCAATTAAAATTTTCTAGATACAAAGATTTTCAGTATCAATTTACATAAAGTTTGTGAAATCATAGAAGTGTCTTTCAAGTTTACATATTCTTTGCGAATTATTTTGGGAAACAATGTTTATAGTTTTTTGTATTATACATACAAAAATCATAATTGTAAAAATGGTCAGTAGAAAACCAAGCACATACCAACCGGAAATGGTCAGCATTGAATGTACCCTTCAGAAAAACAACTACCCTACAAACATCACATCAGCTTCTAGAGGCAGAATAAAGAAAATCAGGGAGGGTGATTGGAAAACTGCCACCCTCTTATCTTCTATGCACCGATGGCTTATCGGAAATGTTTCTGAAGTTCTGCGCATTATACAACATCAGGATAATATTCAGAAGAAACTCCACTCTACAGAGAAATATCTACTTTGTGTGCTTCATTCTTTGCAGTTGTTGCAGGAGAATGCAGAGGTGAAATTAGCCGCCCCCTCAAAGTAAGGCCGGGAAACATTAAAAAGTCGTAATTAGAGGTGAGATGATGAAATCAGAAATGGCTGATAATGGAGGAAAAGGGTAGACATCAACCTCTGTGGAATAAAGTAAAATGTTGAACAAACAGAGAGAGTAACACTGGAGAGGCAGACGTCTTAAAGAATCAGTGCATATTTTATGATATGCGTACCTTCTTAATAAGACAAGCATAGAAATAAATACAGGAAGTATTAATAAATAAAGAAAAAGGTGACAACAAAAAAATAATGTTTCAGCGAATGCATTCAAGATTGGTAAGGTTTTCAAGCTTATAAAAAATAGATGTTTGGCTCACAAAGAACACTTTGGAATATTCTAGAATTCAAAAACTGTTACACTGTGTAAATATGCAATGGAAGACACAAGAAAAACAAGTGAACATTGCGAAAATTTAGAATTTAAGCAATCACTTAAAGTTGGTTGCAAGTCTTGAAAATTTTAGAAGTTAAGAAAAGTGATCTCAAAAAAAGTCAGTGTTTTTAATATATGTCTTTCTTTACTTATAACTGACACAGGAAAAATATTTTAGCATCATAATCATAAAAATAAATTTATTAGATGTATCTCATAGAAACAAAATAGTGACTAGATTGAGAATAGCTTTCAATATTGCTAAACAAAATTTACTGGAGAAAGGGAATCTATTGCGAATTGAAAGGTGGGGGAGAAATTTTAGCATGCAACGCTCTGGTAAGCAATTACTTGTCATTTTTAAATGATGAGTTTGAACAGGAAATACCTTCTTGGAACAATAAAGAACTATTTTCAGGATTACAAATGTATTTGAATAAACAAAATAGGATAGTTTTGCCAAATGCAGTGTATATTTTCAAAGTGTCAGATACAAAATGTCATTTTATTTGCTACAAACAATATTCGTTTTCTGCTCAAGCTGATGTTATCAAGTTGAAATATCATTTAAAGGATTCGTCAAATGACAATTAAACAGTTCATTTATGACAGAATACACAATTTAACTTTTAGCTAGGCAAATAATTAATATTAATTCTTCCAATTGATATGATTTCGTTGCTGCTTGGCTAAGTTTTCTCTTCGTCTTCATAAAGCCATTTTTAAATAAATAACCTCCAATTGGTCAATGCATGATGAGGAGTCCTGATATTTACTAAGCTTAACATAGATAAATAGATGGATAGATAGATAGATAGATAGATAGATAGATAGATAGATAGATAGATAGATAGATTCATACATACATACATACATACATACATACATAGAAAATCAGATAATGTTCTACTGTAGATGTATTTATTTCCCCTCGCCGTAGAAACTGATTACATTAGATAACTTTATTTTCCGGCTTCTTTTGTTCTCTTTCTGCAAGAAGAATTTGCAGTGGAAAGTTCTTCAGGAATCAATTTGAAAAAATACTCACAACTGTTCACTACAAAACGCAACGAATAATGAATAATTTAATGTTGTAATTGACAATGCTATGCCTTACATAGTTTGGCACCAGAGTATGCAACCTTTTAGGAAACAAAAATTAGTTCCTGTTCCAATTTTCCTACCGTTCGCTGTTTTCTCAGAAATGTCAATTTACAAAATACAAAAACTTAACTTGGTTCCAATCACACAGTTCTTTGAAAGAGCAATAATCTTGCTTAAAACCTAGTGGTATATAACCTACTGAGAATTAACCTGTATCATTTTCTGTAAGTTATTTTCGAAAATGTCCTGGGTATGACGATAAACTACATCCAGCAGCAAGGCCTTGATGGGAAGATTGACGATTTTGAGGAGCGTAGAACTCTTAATTTTTGTTGTTCCCAAGTCTGACCCAGAGTGGTAGCACCTGTTAGGGTCGCTGCTATGGGCAAATAATACAAATCAGAACGGAGGGATTCTTAGGCGGCTATTGTTCAAACTTGGCAAATATCAGGCATCGTCTGCGACGCCATAGATACTGCGAGCGTATTGACTTGTCTTTCCTTCGCGGATTGTTCGTGTGAGTGGAGAGGAAGTGAGTGATGTTTAGGCGAGACACTTGCTCCTAAAATGGAAGCACAGGCTCTGCGGAAACGGCGAACATACGGGCACGAGATAAATGCGGAAGGGACACTCCGTCGGTCACTGTGAAAGTCGACAAAAACATGGGTTATGGTTGTTACCGGTTATAAGCTTCCCCAAATTGACGTACACGGGGAGAGCCAGGGGTCACAATCAACAGTGGGATGGCTATTCACTCACATTGGTTGGTTACGCCCGCTTAATCCTGGTAGCCCCTGGACAATAAATACCAACCCACCAGGCCAGGATTGCTTCAGTTGGAGCTAAAAATTACACCTTTTTTTTTTTTTGGAGGCACAGAAATCAGCACAGACTTTATGGCGTTGGCTTTGCTGTCCGAAATAGTCTTGAGCAGTCGATCAACATCCATACGGGATTTCAGAGTGACTTATATCGCTCTGTCTCCAAATCACATTGGCGAATCTGAAATCTAGGGATGTCAAACCGATAAAGGAACAGAATAAAACAGATCTAGATGGTGGGTGGCTCTACTTTAAGCTTTATGTTCAAGACCTTCCTGAAAATCCAGATATAGAAGGGGTCTTATTGTCTTCTGGTGTATGTGTAGAATTAGATGAGGCTACCGAAATGAGATTTCTGAAGCAATAAGTGCCCTCTCAAATTGGAGGACAGCAGGCGAGGAAGGTGCTCCTGCTGAAATCATTAAGGAAAATAAGGATGTTCTCCTCCCGCAGTTGCATGCATTGCTATTGCAATGCTGGCGACAACTTAAAATACCCCACATATAATGCGCGACACCTAAATCGTTACCCTGTACAAAGAATAAGAGTGACAATGGTGACTGTAATAATTACAAGAAGATCTCTTCTATTCTTGGGGAGTAAGATCTTCGCTAGGATCCTTCTGAAACGTCTGTAAATATTGGCTGATCGCATCCTGTCAGAGACACAGTCTGAATCTAGGGCTGGTCGATCAACGACTGATATGGTCTCTATACTGTGCCATCTACAGGGAAATCACTGTTCATCGCCGTTGTTAATCTGATTAAGGCATTTGACACTGTCGGACGTAAATCTTTATAATGTTCTGGAAAAAATCGATTGTCCACCTATTTATTTACAGTTGCTCATTTCATTTCCCGACGACATCAATGCATGAATTCAGTTCAATGAAAATACATCGGAGTCATTCAAAGTTAGGAGTTAAAAAGGTTCGTGTCTTGGCACCCACTCATATCGCCATTTATTTTGATGTCCTCCTACAACATGCTTTTGAAGAGAGCGAGGATAGAGCTTACCTTAAAACCAGGTTCGATGGATCGTTTTTCAATCTGAAAAGACTGAAGTCAAAACGACCAACAACTGCAGTGTTGACTAGAAAATTACTTTTCGCTGATTATGTTGTGATAGCAGCGCACAGTGAAATCGATCTTCAGTGACTATCGATCGTCTAGCGGAGGCATTTGATCTCTTCGGGTTGATAATCAGAGTCAAGAACACTGAGGTAATAGGACAAAGGACAAACTCACCACCAGAGATAAAACTTGATGGTCAATCACTGGATATAAGTTTCTTTACTTGGTATCCACCATAACATCGAACCTATCTATGGATGAGGAATTGACGAACAGAATGAGAAAGGCCACAGCTGCATTCATGAAAACTATGAAAAGAGCATAGGAAAGTGATACGATAAATCCAAGACCCTAATTTACCAAAGAAGCGCTCTCTCAACATCCCTTTACGGAGTGAGACGTGGACCTTGTACGCTGGCCAGGAGAAGAGGTTAAATAATTTTCAAATGAGATATTTAAAAAATATTTTAAAAATTAAATTGTAAGATAGAGAAGTGCTCAAAAGAGCAGGCATTCAATCACTTTATCCCATTCTGGGTCTCGGTGTCTCAGATGCTTGGGCACGTTGCGCGCATGGATAACTCCAGAATTCCAAAACAGAGACTGTGGAACTGACCTGAGGGCATGCGTAACAATGAAAGACCCAAGCTTCTCTTCACGGACCAGTTTAAAACGTCCATGTAATTTTCTATCAGTGTTGCGAACTGGGATGCGGTTGCCTAGAATCGTGTGGCGTGGAGTGCTGCTGTTTTTGCAGGAACAAAGAGCTATGAAGAGAGTCCAGTGCGCCGTCGAGGCTAGACAAAGACGCAAATTCACTACGGTGGGTGAATCCACAGTATTCTACTACTGTAGTTGTTGTCAAACCGTACCGAACGCGCATTGGTTGTTTTAGCCATGAACAGTGCTGTGATTTATTTTCCGCTGCCACCGTCGCCGTCGATAAAAAAAAAGGGCATTTTGGGGGGAAAACAATTTGGTGTGGTTACAATAGGTTAACATTAACTCCACATAGTTAACTGGTTCGAAAAGTAGCTTAGACTGACAAAAGGAAATACTTTCTATACCCTGTATGTTGCTAACTCACAACGCAAATTTCATTTTTTCCCCTGAGAAATTAGCTTAAATCGTCTTAGCGCAGATCGGCTTTTATTCTTGTGAAAAAACTGAGAACCTTACTTTGAAAAGGATTTCTGAGGCGTTTGCAAACTATTGAAGAATAAAGGACTGAGATTTGAGATAAAAAGTAGTAGAAATACGAGGAAACAATTACTAGTGGAAAATTTAGTCATATTAGTCACTGTATCAACTATGAAATTCAAGCAACAACTGCAAATTATATATTCAACAATTCGATGAGGCAATTCATATCATAATTGTTGCGTTTATATAATCATTATATAATATTATATAATCAATTATATATTCAACAATTCAATGAGGCAACCGGTGCATGTCGTTTCGTAGCCAAAAATCCGACGAAGATAAAAGAAAATCAATAACATTTTTTAAAATATTCCAAATTCAAATGGTTAAATTATTTTCGTTGGTTTTATTTCGTTTAGTTTAAAGAATACGCTGAGTTTTTAGCGTTACTCTCAGTTATAATAAACCAAGCAGAAGACCTTCTCCATGGTCTTGAACATTCAATCAAACTTATCGGTGTTCATGTAAATTCAGTGAAAACAGAATGTATAAGCTTAAATAAAAATGGAACAATCTAAAATTACCTCGCACACCTCTCAGCTGTACAGAAGAATACACTTATAAGAAGAATTTACTTATTTTACGTCGTAAAATCTCTAGCTGCGAAAGAGATGTAAACATACACCTGTGTAAAACCTGTGTGCCGTCGACAATTTATCTCTCGTGTGGAAATCTAGCTCTTCCTCACAACATCAAAAGGAACTTCTTTCAAGCAACTGTTACCTATGTTCTAATGTATGGCTACTCAGCATAGACCTTTAGCTCAAAACTGGAAGATTGAAATCTATAGGCTAAGAGTGGCTTGGATTATTTGGTTTATTTATTTTGTTTTACGGGATATCAACCTCAATGAGTTATTTAATGCTGACAAGATTTTTATTGCTGGTAATTTTTTTTTTAATGTATAGCTGGTAATTTTTTCAAAAACTGTATTACTGGTAATAATGTATTACTGGTAATATTTTTTTTAAAATTTATTTCTGGTAATAATTTTTAAAAAGTATTTTTGGTAGTAAAACCTATTTTTATACTTTCATAGTGTTTTGACACCAGTTTGGGACTAAAATATTTACCCATAGCTGGGACCCTAACAGGTGCTACCCCCCAAGTCAGGGTGGACTTGGGAACACCAGCAATTAAAAGGTAGTTCCACACTCCTCAAAACCTCATGTAGGCCTTTCTGTTGGACGTAGTTTAACGTCTTACCCAGGACATGGATGTAGATTATGGTCATACCCAAAACAGGATTATTTCCGTAAAAAATAAATTGTCATATGGTCGTAACACATTGATAACATCACGTCTCCAACACCAAAATACAAGGTAACCAAAAAAGTTCTGTCCGTTTTTAAAGGAAAAAAAGAAAACGCTTCACAGTATGTGTAACTTATATTTAGTTTTTGAAGTAATCGCCATCGGCATCCAGCATCTTCTGCCAACGTGTCTCCAGCTGTTCAATGCCCTTGCAGTAGAACTCGGGGTGTTTTCACGCAGAGAAGTCCGTGAGGGCTTTGAGCAAGTCTGCTTCATTGGTGAAGGATTTCCCACGAAGATGATTATCCAGGAAGTAGAAGAGGTGGTAATCGGATGGCGCAATGTCAGGTGAATAAGATGGATGGCACAAAGTCTCCTACCCAAGTTGTTGTATGGTATCCCTGACCATTCGCGCGACATGCGGCTGGTGTTGTCATGGAGGAAAAGCACACCTTTGCGATTCACCAGTGCTGGCTCCTTCTGGCGCAATGCCTGTTGCACACGTTTCAATTGCTGCGAGTATAGGTCTCCAGTGACCGCTTGGCCCGTTGGTAGCAGTTCATAATGAACCACTTGACGACCTGTCCACCAGACTCATAGCATAATCTTGCGTGGGTGCATAGGCGGTTTTGCGGTGTGAGGGACAGCATCCTGAGGAGACAACCAATGTCTGGAACGCTTGGGAGTTTTGTACAGAACCCACTTTTCATCACTGGTAAGCACTCGATTGAATAAGGATGCGGTACGGTGGCGAGAAAGCAGCGATACGCAGGCTGCCACTCGTTGTCCCTTGTGGACCTCCAACAGCGTTTGCAGAACCCACTTGCTCAGTTTGTACGTCTTACCTAGGCGGTGCAGGTAAAGCCTAACTGTTTCATCGGAAACGTTGAATTGTCTTGCAAGTTCACCACACGTTAGACTACTGTCCTCTTCAATGGCCGCCTTCAGGACTCCGTCATTCAAGACCTGTGGTCGTCCACTGCGAGGCTCATCATGGAGAGACAAATCTCCCGACTTGAATTTTCGAAACCAACGCCTTGCAGTACGTTCATCCACATCACTATCCCCAAACGCTTGACATATGCGGCGACTTGATGCAGCTGCTGATAAGCCCACTTTGAAGTCGTAAAGCAAACAGCCCCGAACGAAATCTCTAGACACTTCTATCCTTCTCACAGCTGTCTGGCTTATAACTGATGGCCGGGCACGGTACGCGTATTTTTTTATAACGTCTGATGTTCCTACTTCCGGCTGTCTGAATTTAAAAACAATTGCTACACGCATTTCCTATATATTTCAACTTCATTCAATGACTAATCAAAAAACGGACAGAACTTTTTTTGTTACCTTGTACATTAACTAAGCAAACACAATTCAATAAAACATTTTTAGACACGTATCAAAATGTACTCTCTCGATAAGGTCGGCGGAATGTGAATTTGTTTTGAAGAAAAAAATTCCTTTGAGTCGATTTTACATTTTACCTAGCAATAAATTATTTTTTCTACAACTTGTAGACGGCAATCATCTGCTAAAACTGTCCAAACCCATGTAGCGTGATATAGCCTCATTCCAAAACCTTGCAGCACACACGCAAGGTATATCGTTAATGATTCCCTGACAGAAAAGCCATCACACGCATGACTTCAACCCGTCAAGTAGCAAAACCGAACATGAAGATTGACTTCTTAAACGCCTCAAACTCAATCCTTCGTCACTCAACAAACGACTTCACAGATACATCAGGAGTTGACTCATAAGCTCTTAACTAGAGGCAGGATGCTGCTTCAATTCATTTTCACCCTGTCGTCAACCGTCGCAATATTTCCATTACTCAACACTTTCAACATTTGAAACCCCCATAAATTGCACGACCGTTTTCATGGTGTATAAAGTAGATAAGTTCTTTACAACCTGTATGAGAGAAAATATAGTATTTTAGTGTAATTTTATTTAAGACTCTAAAGGAGTAGATATCTATACCTGTAATCCTCAAAATGTGTGTGTGTATGTGTGTGTGTGCGATCCGATGTTGTTTATGTGTTTTCAGAGTTTTCATCCGATTTCGATGAAATATTTTTTGTTTGATAGATAATTCTTCAGTGTCGGTTTTGAGTTCAAATTGTCTGGAAAAAAATTACAACCTTGAAGGTAAACAAATCGAAAAAAAATTTTTTACGCTTTATCAATTGAGGCATTAAAATCTAACACAAAAAATTATTAGAATTATATATATATATATATATATATATATAAAATTATCGTATATTATTATTATGGCGGTCCATGGAAGATTGAGAACCCAAAAACGGCCATTTTCAGGGCACCCCTCCAAATTAACCCACCATTTGGGAATGTGCCTCAGTTGCACCCAATTGTTGTTACTAATATTGATTTTCGGGTGGGCTGACTTTAAACTTAATCTGCTCCAATTGATCGGCAAAAATTTCCAGTAATGAAACACCCGGGCGAAGATGTTTTACACTGCTAGTTTAAACTAAAAGTTGAATATATTACTACAAAAACTCTGATGTCAGATTATGCAATAAATATTAAGCATTCAGTTTTGTAAAATTTCCATGATAATTTAATAGAATCAGTATATTATATGACTTTCAGTTTTAGCTCCAGAGTCATCATTAATCATAACATTTGAGAGAAATCAGTGTACTGCTTTGCTCAACTTACACTTTTTATGATGTTTATTTAAAGATTATATTTTAGTTGCTTTTCTTGTTATGAATATTCTACCTCCTTTTTCTTTGCTTATATTTGCAACACCAGCATCTGTTCCTGATATTCAATCCATTTTCATTCTGATGACCTTTTCATTTTACTCTAGTCTATTTGTGTGACATTCATAAAAACACTTTTTATTCTTGCTTTTATCTTAACAATTTCTTATTTAATTGTTCTGTCATCTCAGTCCAACTTTTCAGAAATTCTATCATTTTCCCATCAATAGCTTTACATCTTATCTTTTATCAACCCTTCACAACCGTTATATAACTGGAATCAAAATCGAAATATCAGTAACAATTATTTGATATCTATTTATTTAAAATATAATGAACACTCTTCGTGTTGCATAACGAAACCAGATATCACTGAATTGTTATTATATTTAATAAAACCTTATAAACTGGCATTCACCTGTTATAGTTTCATTTAAATCCTGAAATGTTTGTCAACACTGGCCGTCGCTTAATTGTAATTTATTGTGACTTGTATAATAAAATACGTTATAGTGTAATTGATATTTGCCATATTCGGTGTCTGTTGTTATGGAGTGGTTTCACAGTGGAGGCTTGTATTTGTACTAAGTCGGTCCTAAAATAGATTCGACGTACAAAACGTTAGGAACTTGATATAATAGGTAGAGACGCGGAGAAATCTAGTTGTAGTCGCTGATACTTTAGTATCCGACTAACGGTCGTCCGGCATCGACTGACTGACCGACCCACTGAGCGACTCCCTCGTTACTCTTACTACTCCTACTTATTATAGGTTGGAGAGTCTATTAACTATGGAACACCACTATAACACCTGTAAACTTAACAGAATTAAAAGAAATAGGTATAAATAATCAGAGAATAATAAAAGATAATTTTTATGTAAAAAATTTCAGTAACTTGAAATTAACAGTGTGAGATAGGCAAGAAGTAAGGCATGTAGCAACATCAGCACGGAAAAGGGCACTCCTTTAAAGGCAAGGAAGGTCAAAAATATTTTAAGTCAAGTGATAGCGATTGCTGTATGAGTCGTACGATTTTTGAATCAAGCATGGGTAACGCCGGGCCAAGCTGCTAGTAATGAATAAGCCTCATTGGCAGCTATTTGTCCCATTACGTTACAATACAAATTATTTAATTAAGATAAATAATTCTTACGAGCACCTCACCGTATAGTACTGGTTAACAAGCTAGTCTCGCAAAACCTTAGTAATTAAGTAATTTTGATCCTCACTAGGTGTCACACAGTTACCAAAGCCATGTAAATGTGATTTCTACGGAACCCATAGTTAAAAAATCGTCCCTTTCCCCAATTTAGGTTAATTTTAGGAGTTTTATATCGATATTCCTTTCGACGATGTTAGTTAATTTTGTTGCAGTGCATTCAATCTTCAACGCGTTTTCCTCATAAATGTCCTTGAGTCAGACTAGGCTAAGCTTACTTAAATGATAGAACAGTGATTAGCAAGAAAATACCCATGTCCATTATGACTGTGAGGAAATTGACCTTTAACACCTCCCCGTATACGATCATATTAGGTGCGGGCAAAAATGGCTGTGCAGGTGATGTAACGGGTAACGAGTCTGAATGTTTAATCTGAAAGACTGCATCGAATTTCGATTATATTCACTTCCGCGCACATACACTTAGGAAATATATAAATCCATGTTCTTTCCCGAAATAATTTTTAATTAGTGAAACAACCTGGGCTCTTTAGTCGTGTTTGGTAACCAGTCTAGGAGAAGGACAACTCTTGAGCGCTTCGGCCCCATACCCGTCGGAGAATCTACGGGACACTGGGCGCTTCGGCCACATACCCATCAGAGGATGTACGGGACTTGAGCGGTTCGGCCCCATACCGGTCAGAGAATCTACGGGACACTGAGCACTTCAGCCCCATACCCGTCAGAGAATCTAAGAGACTTGAGCACTTCGGCCACATACCCGTCAGTGGATGTACGGGACTTGAGCACATCGGCCACATACCCATCAAAGGATGTACGGGACTTGAGCACTTCGGCCACATACCCATCAGAGGATGTACGGGACTTGAGCGCTTCGGTCCCATACCCCTCTGAGAATCTACGGGTCTTGAGTGTATGCGTGTGCAAAAAATGTCAATTTTTCTTTTTAGAAAAACAGAGATTGGGTATACAATTCAATACAAGTGTTTTCACTGGATTAAATTTTCTATATATCATATTACCTTAAGTGCCTTGCTATTGTGTAATTGTTAATCAAAGAATGAGTTTAGTCTTTACACAATGTCCAACAGTTGTAGCATATGCCAAATTAATTCAAGATTAGCAAATTGCTTGCAGTGATTCCTATAAAAGTGTCAGTCAACTTGAATTAAATTAAGTATTCGATATTATTTCTGGAAGTAATGTTGATAACAGTGGGGATTGGCATCGCAAATCTTAAGAAACGATGTTGGTCGTGTAGAAAAATCACCAAATATTCTTTCAAGCCATTGTACATTTTATTGATTGTCTTGGGTACATATCAATCTCTTCGTCTCGACTCTGGATTTTAGCAAAAGACAAATCGATGGTCATATTAACAGTGCGACAAAATTGATTTTCTGTACGTGAAGGCACGAAGCCCAATGTCGGGACTTTGTATTGTTAAATTTTTGTTTTAGTCGGCTTACCCCTGTCGCGGGTCTAATTCCTTATCGAAATGTCGATGTTTTAGGAAGAGTTTCGTTTTTTCGAATACATAAAACAACCCTTTATGCTTCTTGATTAATTGAAGTGTTATTTTATATCGACGCATGGCGGGTTCAATTAGGAAATCGTAGTAATAATTATGTTTGTTGTCGAGTGTTCAGTATAATTTGACTTATAATTTGTCGAAATGTTTTTAAGAAATTACAACCGTAGAAACCAAAAATGAATGGTGTTCCGTTTAATAAGAAAACAGTTTTTATCGTGTCGCTTTTTCTTCTTTGATCAATTCTATTATTATAAATAATAGAAAGAGTAATCTTTCCAACGATGGAGATGAGCGTATGGAACGGTGCTCCAAAACGTTATCCAAAGGGCAAAGGTAGATAGGCCCTGAATCCGTTTATATGAGGTCAAAAGGAATATTTTTGGCCAAGCCTACTGGCCACGTGAGGGGGGGGGTTAAATATAACGGAGATGAGCGTAGCCACCAAAAAAGTATGTTGGAACAGATCCAAATTGTAGACAGTTCATTCCTCACTAACTGTTACATATATCTGAGCTTGATCCGGGCTCAGTTTAGTAAATATCAAAGCGCTTCGTTATAATAAATTTTCAGCTTACTATTCTTTCAGATAATTACTATTTTATTCTAGTATAATTATTATTTGTTTCCAAATAGCGAATCCCAGTTGTTCTTTTCGTGCCAGACTAAATTAATTTGACTCATTTTACACTTCTGGCTTTCTGCAAGACAATGTCAGATTCAGTAAATGAAAAAAGCTAGGCTCCTTTGTTGTGAAATATTAATCACATTGTAACTGCAACATTTGCTGCTTTATTTATATTATTGTTTTATCTGTTCCCATTAATTAACAAAGAAATTTCTTGAACAGTAACTGAAGTTCATTTATGTGTTCTTCACGACAACCTGCGTCTGTTCTCTCACACACATTAATCATCGGCCTCTACTTCTGTTTCGATAAAGAGGATTTGCTCATAATGCCACACCACAGAAATCAAGGTTTGATGTTTAAGTATCATCTATTTGGACATAGACTTGTACCAATCGACTGAGCCAGATAAAGTATTGTGATTCACAAAAGAATCTTGTATTGCAGCTGTGACATCCATGATACGACAGTTGGCGCCATAATGACGGAACACCATTTATCTGATTTGATAACTGTTTTCATTTCTTTTTAGGCCCTTACTCTAACAAATGTATACGAGGTATATTTTTCAGGATATGATTTCACGCCATGCATAATGAGCTGGCCTCGTGGGTTGATACAAGAACGAGACTGCCGAAAACAATATTAACTAAACGAAGAAAAATATTGCAGTAAATCGTACGCCAAATCAATGCCGGTGATACTTAACTAATCAGTCAGAGCACAATACAGCGTATATTGCATTACTTTAAGATTACGTATTCATCAACCAATGCAGATAAATATTATTGAAACTACAGCATCAGTAACTGGGCTGCACCTACCCCAAAGAAGATTGAAGATCATAAAATGTTAACTTAGCATCACTTCATCAGACGAGTTAATTTCTCTGCAGTTTCGAGCAGATGAGTCGGTGTATGAACGAAACGACGTGAGGCTATGGGTCCAACCTCACAATACTGGGTAAGATAGTGACTCTGTAACGGGATGGATCACGTTTTACTGGTGTTTGCAAGGAACCCTAGTAAAACTGAAGTCTATCCCGACAGGCGTCATATTAACAGATATTATTGTAAAACTTTTGCTCGATTTTATACTGACGATGTTTCTTGGGGGTAATGTTTTCTTTCGGTAAGATAACGAAGCAGATGCGGATGACACAGTACTGCCAAAAACATTTTCATATACACCGGCTGATTTCCGTGTACGCTACTGCTCCTCTGCACTCGCTAGATCATGTATGGAACATGTTACAGACCTCAGAAATTTCTATGCAATAACAAAGGATAAAAACTACTTAATTATGGGCAACTAAGGTGTTTTTGAGACGTTTTTATGTTTATACATTCTTTTTATAGATACAAATATTTAAGCAAATGCTCTGTTTATAATAAACAGTGTTAAACAACATTTACTAGCCTGAATGTCCCGAATTTTCATATTCACATAATATCGATTCCTATCGGAGGACGAATATTTTCTATGAAAATTTCTCGGACATTAAGGCCGGTAAATGTTGTTTAATACTGTTTATTATAAACAGAGCATTTACTTAAATATTTGTATCTATAAAAGGAATGTATAAACATAAAAATGTATATATATATATATATATATATATATATATATATATATATATATATATATATATATGTGTGTGTGTGTGTGTAAGTATATTATATATGTATGCATTATATATGTATATATGTATGTACGTATATATATATATATATAATGAAAAACGATTCTGTCACGTACATTCATATCTGCTCAATGCGTATTCAAATGTAAACAAATGACGTCACAAATTATGAAATGGACAACGTCTGACAATTATTTTTAAGACAATGGATCCGCATTGAGCAGATAAGAATATACGGGAGAGAATCATGGAGTATTGTAATTTAAAGACAGTTTAAATTCGACCTTGCTAACCGAAAGGTCCTCTGTGGCCCAATCGGTTAAAGGCACGACAGGCTATATGACGGTTCCGTATAGGATACAGGTTCGATTCCTGGCAGAGGACGAATATTTTCCATGAAAATATCTCGGACATCCAGGCCGGTAAATGTTGTTAATACTGTTTATTATAAACAGAGCATTTACTTAAATATTTGTATCTATAAAAAGAATGTATAAACATAAAAATGTCTTAAAAATAATTATCGGACTTTGTCCATTTCATATTAAGGTGTGTAAACACCGACCTTTCGAACTAAGTTCTGCTCTTGAATTTTATTCTGGGAGCCATAAATACAACGATACAAATAACATATTGTTAGATGTATAATGAGAAATGACTTCCTTTTTTCATGAGAGGTAATTTTAGAACTTTATTCCTTCGCCGTTTTTAATGATCCCTTTTTATTGTTATTTAGGAACAACCAGTTTTTAATGGGTATACTGAAAAATTGATTCGCGAGTCGAAATACAAAGTATTCAAACTTTTTCTTTTACATATTAAGGCAGAACAAGTTTTTAATGATTATATTTAAAATCGATTCAGGGGTTGAAATAAAAATTATTCAGAATTTTTCTTTTAAATATTAAGGCAGGATAAGTTTTTAATGGTTATATTTAAAAATCGATTGTAGGTTTAAAATAAAAAGTATCCAAACATTTTTTAAAATAACACAGAGCTACGCGTTTTAAAATATATGTTAAAAATGCAAGCCTGGCGGAACTGTTTCTACCAATAAGAAGAATGGGCCAAATTTGTCAGTGATACATCACAACCAGTTTCTTGGAGTAGATGAAGCTTGTCAGATTCAGAAAAGTAGTTCGTCTAGTGAGAAGAAAAATATGAATTTCAACCTCGGCTTCCTTGCGGGTATATCCAGGCGTGGAGAAGTCTATGGAAGTAAATAAAAGTCAAATATAAAATAAGGAATCCTTCTGGCGGTTGGCTGTCAGCATAGATCTTCCAACTTTTGAAATGAAGATGAGCGCAAAACGTAAAGCGCTTTTACTATTTTGGATATCGCCAATTCAGCTAGGAGTTGGGCGCCATTATCTGGTCATCGAAAGGTTACCTACGCCATTGTGCAGGCCAATCCTTTTAGGAATGCTCACTTCAGTATCACTTCACTTCATCAGGTGAGAGCCCAGCACGTAAGATATTGCGCTCAACATCACTGGTATTTAACAAGCGAAACGTTACCAATGATCTTACAACATTGACGGATGTTTGCTTCTACAATTTATCTTTACTTTTTCTTCTGCAACCCTTATCATAAAGGTTCAGATTTATTAAAGTAATACTTCAAAACTGTCATCCAGTCTTAAGTTATATATATACATGATGAAGGTGAATTTAAGCGTATTTATTTTTAGATAAACACGCTAGTCACTGATCGAACCCGATTCGTTTTATCAAAGAGTATTGCATTAGTAGTCACTGTTTACAAGCTCACACTTACTCCCTTGAGAGCTCAACCGAAATAAATTTTTCAGGAGCATATATATTGTCATCTACGGACAGACTGTTTCGCTCTATCACAGCTGACCAATGTGGCTATACGTCCCGTGGCTTCTAGCTAGGATCGAAACCCGACTGTATTTGCATCAGTCGGAGATTCTCTCGCTAAGCCGTTTCTATGTAAACATTTCAGATAGCGTATATCTGTAAGAGGATAATATACATGCATGTGTGTATGTAAGACAAAAGGAAAACTTATCTGTGTGTAAGACAAAAAGAAAACTTATCTTAGCAGACGTGTTTCGAT